AAACGCACGGGAAATGTAATGAACACACGGCGAATGTAAGGGGAAGGCGCAGGGAAGCGCTTTGTAAAACGGCATACAAGAGAACGCACGGTATAATGGACCGCGGAGGCAAGCTTAACCCACAGCGAATGTACGGAGAACAACGGCGAACCAAACAGGAACTCATGGCAAAATGAAAGGGTTCTGCATAGCGGAAACGCAGGGGAACACACGACGAAAGCGAGGGAAAACACGGGCAAGCGTATTTGAAAGTATACAGAGGCCGGTACCCTATGTTATGCGAGCAAATCCATGGTAAACATTGGCTACTCTACGCTAATAAGAAAACATACAGCTGCAAAATATATACAAGTTTATTACAAGCCGATCATTCTAAGGGTATCAGCTTTACACACTTTTTAGACAAAGTTTTATATACACCTGTACAATTAAAGTTGGTTCTTTACTAGACATTATCTTCATCAAATTCCGAGTTGATATAAGGATTCAAAAGGGCTGAATGTGTCCATAACTTAGGTTACAATCTGATAACCATTACAAGAATGTGTTGTGACAACTAGACTATTATGGAGCGCCTTTAAAGCGTTCGTTGATATGAAAACAAGTTTGTCATGGCGGATCACTCCGTTCAAATAACCCGTGTTAAACCTTTGCAGTTGGAGAGTTTCGCCAGAGAATGATCAACAGTTATTTATTTTAAAGCACGTTCATCTCTTTTCAGGTAAAATCTTTGCTTAGGCCTAAACTTCTTCGACGAAATAAATACACTTTATTATCCAAGCCTGTCAAACGACTACATTTAAAATAAATTTACGTTCTGTGAAAACACGAAATTCAACTAGCTAGTGACCGAGTCTGTCCCTTCTGCAACAAAACCCAAGACTTGCGCCGCAAAGTTGTCAGCGGTAATGTTCTCTGGAAGATGCTCTTTAAGTAACTCAGTAGCATTGGAGGCGTCATAAGTCCCAGTCTCTGCGCTGCCACCTAATTCTCCAAGACCCAGTAACGTGGACATGTA